AAAAAACAACTTGACAAAAAAAAAAAAAAAAAAAATCATAATCCTTCATAGACTAATACCTGACTCTGTGACTGGAGGACATTTTTGAGAATCTTCTTCCATCAATCCAACCTACGACGCTAATCTCACGGATGTTCTTGTCCAGAGTTGTGACAGTGCACATTTCCTGTTCATTCAATAACAAAAATGTTGCTGTTGAAAGTTCTTTACATGAGAAAGTTGCAAAAATCTGTAATCCGTAAAAAAAAAACATAATATTAAAAAAAAACAAACAAAAAAAAAACATACATGTTGATGGCAACAGTAGATGTAAACAGGTTTGCTTCTTTGAGTGAATGTGTTCAGACCGGTATATCTAAATAGTGAGGCTGTTTCCATCATTAGTGAGTTTTCTGGTGCATTGGGATTGGAATGAATTGATCTAACTAATGGCGCCATTTTAGTTCACAAAAGGAATTATGCAAATCAGGTGCAATTGAGTGAATGCTTGGTGTTGGGAGGATGCAGCAGAATACTGCAATATGCTGTACTTTTACTGGCACATTACAGAATCTCTCCACCACTGCGATACAAACACCTGAATTGGCTTTTTAAAATGTGTTCTCAATAGCACACCATTTTGCGATTGTTTCATCATCATTTGATGAATTACTCCCACAATCAAAAATGCACTCAAACATATTACAGAAAAAGGAAGTGTGTTTGGGTTGAAAAGAATGGCAGTGATTGCAGGTGGTTAGTGAATAAGACAGGTTTTTTAATGCTGAAATACAGTGTGCAAAAGTGGCGCAAGCAGCAAATTAGCCCCTGAATGTCTTGCGTAGTTAAATTGGCTGATTCTTGTTGCTCGAGGAGCAAGTGGACATGGTTTGTAAGAAGATCTAGATTGTTTGTGTTGCTACAGTGTTCCACAAATAATGTTGGATTTATAGTCATAGTTGAAAGACAATACAGTCTCACATATCAGTTTACATATATTCCTGGTGCCTCCCGTAAAACCTAAACACCACTGCCTGTTAATGTTGTATGAGTCCAGGAACCTGCTCCTACCACACTATCTGTGGGAGCTGATGTTAAATCACAGTGAGTCGTGGGGATGGTAGCTAACTCGATATTCGTATCACCATCTTAAAGTGCTGGCAGATTTGACAGACTGGAGGTTTGTGGGTAGATTTTCTAACTGAAGATGATCACTACCTCACATTTAAGCCTGACTAAAGTACTAAACCACCAATTAAACAACATTGCAAGATACGCTGACATTAAATAAAAAAGTAGATTTTTGGCAAAGCACAAGGTTTGAAATGCAATCAAAGGTTTACAAAACTCAGATATTTGGCCATGCCTATCCCAGAAACCTCTGAAAATGGTCTTGTTCCTCCTCAGCCTTTAACAGATGTTTTAATATCAGTGCAAGGGAATGTCACTTGAAAGCCATATAGTCTTAGTGTCACATCTCATAATGTAAATATCACAAACTCTTGATTTTATAACCCTAGGAGCACTGTAGCATTAAAACGTAAAATGATGATATATCCCTGTATATAGATCCATAGTAAATAAATCCGACTCAAAATGGCTTATGAGCAAATTTGAATCATATTTTGTGATGTTAAAGATGCACTGAGTCATTTTTGTTTGTTGCACTGGTTGATTGGACACTGGTCTTTGACCTACACTGTCATCTAGTGGTGGGGAGGTAGAATAATGCAAAAGCAATAATTTTAGGTTACCCGTACCACTGTAGAAATGCTCTGTTTGCAGCCGCCCATTAATGTGTCTATTAATGGGAGGGGTCTCATAGATAAAGTAGTATTCGGCTAGTCTTGTGATTTCAACATGGTGGCACCCATGAGGTTACCCACTCCATGTAAAATAAAACAGCTGTTTGGTCTGATATTAAAACATATTTCAAACGTGTTACTAATTTATTTAGCAGTAAACTTAATGAGCAAACTTTAAATTTAAAATGACTGAGTCCACCTTTAAAGTTACCCCCCACCCTGTTTGGAGAGAGAGGGTCGGTATGAAGAACATCTAAGCAATATAAAAATGTGCAGATACACACACACATACAGTATATGTACACGCATAATAACAACTTGTTTTCAAGTATGTATTGTGAGGTTCTGTAGTTTGGTCTTCAAGTTCCAGATTCTTTAGTTTCTCACAACGATTCACAGGAAGACACAACAGGGTTTTAATCCTCTTTTATACAATACAAAACCTACGAACCTAGCGTAGCATAAGTCTCATGGTCCCATCAGCTAATCCCATTGGCTGTTAGGCATGAGCTTGCTTTCACATGCCCTTACTTTCGTCTCCAGCAAATGATGTCGCACTTAAGTGCTTCCCGGTAATGCACATTACACAGGTTTCCAGGCAAAATCAATTTTCTGCTGGTCACTTCCTGAATCATCACAGTGTCTTAAAGCAGAAGATCATTCTTAAGATATTCATTACCCTTCAGGACATTGCCACTGATATTAGTCTTGTATCATGACATGATTACTGTTTGCTTTTGTATTTTGTGTGTTGATGCTTGTGTTGTATGTATGTGGGTGCAATATGGTATTTATGATGAGAGATTATAGATGTTATTCATCATTGGCAACATCAGGAGGCCTGTATGTGTTTGTACAAGTGCATGTGAGTATGTTTGTGTGTGTCAGTGTTAGCAAGAAACTCCATTGGATAGCTGTCATTTCAATGCAATTAGCAATGTCCTTTTTCTCCCCGGCTGGCTGGTAATTGCTGTTCCTTTTTAAGTGGTATTAAATTCAGATGCAATTTAAGGGAGTGCACAGAGATTTCTATCAGAATGGACTCAATGTTGTCTAGTGGTACCCAACTGCTATCTTTTTTGATAGCAAGATAGCCGCGTTACAGGTCGTTTTGATTTAATCGATGCTGAAGACTACACCAATGGAATAGTAATTTAATTAATATAGCATTTTTCCCTTGCTCGAAGCGCTTTAAAAAATTAAAACACTAAAGTAATGATGCATCGTCATTGCATGCTATAGAGTTACGCTCCCATAGTGTCTATCTGTGCTAGTGTGGTCATGCATATGTAGGAGGTAGTGTGTAGATGTCTAAAAGAAGTACTCTGATTTTCATGTATCATGGCTCTGCAGGTCTCTGATTGGACAATTCCATTGTGTAAAACATCCCTTACATGGATGTCACTAAAATGTTGCATTCTACGTGTCACCCTATACCTTTCCATTCCATTGGTTAGACCTGATTTGTCGAAAACATTCTTAAGGGCATTAAAAGGATAGTTCATCCAAAAAGGAATATTCTGTCACCCTCATGTTGTTCTAAAAAAGTTTTAGAACAACTTAAGTCTTAAGTAAAACTTGAGACTCAAAGACTTTCTTTGAAAATATTTTTTTGTCCATACAATGACAGTCAGTAGAATTGAGTGTTGTTTTAAACCCCACTGACTTTCTTAATATAGACAAAAACAACTGAAAAAATCTTCAAATTACCTTGTATTCTACAGAAGAAAGTCATAAGGTTTGGAATGACATGAGGATGAATAAATGAAATAATTTTCATATTTGGATGAACTATCCCTTTTAAGTCAAACTCAGAATTCAGTGGGTATGGAATCAGAGGCGTCATGCCCATTCAAAGTGAGGGGGCACGTGCCCCCTCAGATTTTTGAGCCAAGTGGATTTTGAATTCAGCTTCCAAAAGACAAAAAATAGCAAATTAATATTTTCTATATTTAATACAGTCATACCAGCGTGATTATAGCGTTCAGTGCGTCATATCATCAGCTGCTAAATTCAAGAGAGTGCTTGAACTAGACTGTCAGTGAAAATGTTCTTTGATCATGTAAATGTTCTTTGCTCTCTTTCTGTACAATGAAAGTGTTATGATTAGTAGCCTAACTTGCAATGTTTTTTTACATTAACTTTCAATGTTAAATTCACATTAAATATAAACTCAGTCGTAATAAAAATATGTTATGGCATGACATCCATATCTGTTAATTAAGTAAACAGACATATGCATAGATAATAGATTACATTATTAAGTTACTTTGACCATCGCCTATAGATCAACATAATCTATAAAGGTGAGAGTCAGGATAGGCTATTTCATGATATAGTTAATGCGTTTGGGAATGTTTCGAATAAACAGGAAAAACGAAATAAAACAAGTGCTGTTGTGGCTGCTGTGTGTCACATGACGACCCCCCAAAATAATGAGTGCATGGCGGCCATAGGCTATCTCTCACGAGTGAGGAAAATGAGCGGTCAGAATGTATAGAGTATGAGAAGCCCAAGTGTCCTGTGGTGTTGTGTGTGTTCCAAGTAAACTCAACGTGCAGTTGTGTCCCACAGGTGCATGAGAGGTTTCTGCCTCTCTTTTCCTCTTCTTATTCCACCTGAGTGATGCTCTACAGTTTATCAGTAAATGATCTTCCTTTTTGCACAAACACAACACATAAACATTTTGTAAAGAAGTGATACTTCCTTTGTTTCATGCCTAGAAATGATAATAAATGATTTTAAAATGTGTCTTGGTGTGTGGTTTATAAAGCAGTTATAAAGGCCTGCGCACAGCACTCTGACATGCCTCTCCTGTGGCTGTGGCTGCAAAAGAAGAAAAAAAAGAGCTTTCTGCCCTTGCAGTCAATCACATTCAAAGTCACTCATCTGTCTCTCTAGCTTTTGCTTTC